AATCAGTTCTGAGACTGAGCTGCGTCAGAGAACATGTTAAAAAATAAATCAGTTCTGAGACTGAGCTGCGTCAGAGAACATGTTAAAAAATAAATCAGTTCTGAGACTGAGCTGCGTCAGAGAACATGTTAAACAATGAATCGGTTCTGAGACTGAGCTGCGTGAGAGAACATGTTAAACAATGAATCAGTTCTGAGACTGAGCTGCGTCAGAGAACATGTTAAACAATGAATCAGTTCTGAGACTGAGCTGCGTGAGAGAACATGTTAAACAATGAATCAGTTCTGAGACTGAGCTGCGTCAGAAAACATGTTAAACAATGAATCAGTTCTGAGACTGAGCTGCGTCAGAGAACATGTTAAACAATGAATCAGTTCTGAGACTGGGTTGTGTGAGAGAGCATGTTTAACAATGAATCAGTTCTGAAACTGGGTTGTGTGAGAGAACCTGTTTAACAATGAATCAGTTCTGAGACTGCGTTGTGTGAAAGAACCTGTTTAACAACGAATCAGTTCTGAGACTGAGTTGTGTGAAAGAACCTGTTTAACAACGAATCAGTTCTGAGACTGAGTTGTGTGAAAGAACCTGTTTAACAATGAATCAGTTCTGAGACTGGGTTGTGTGAAAGAACCTGTTTAACAATGAACCAGTTCTGAGACTTGGTTGTGTGAAAGAATTTGTTTAACAATGAACCAGTTCTGAGACTGATCTGCGTCAGAGAACATGTTCAACAGTGAATCAGTTCTGAGACTCGCTTGTGTGAAAGAACCTGTTTAACAATGAATCAGTTCTCAGACTTGGTAGTGTGAGAGAACATGTTAGAAGCAAAGAGAGAAAGACGTTCTTGTTCTTTTTTACTAATTATTAAGTAACGAAGGGGGGCGGGGCCAATTCAATAAAAAAAATGTGTAAAAACATTTCATGTCTAAAACCAGCGGTACCGCACTCTGAAAGTGAAAGTGGGTGCTGGTTAGCGTTATTTCTCTTCAAGAAGACTCGTTTTCAATGCATTCCTTGGACTTGGTGAAGAAAGAAAAAGACAGGGCGATGGACCCCTCAGTTGGTTCAGCCCCTCTAGTAACTTATACACAACCACCAAGCCAGCGTTGCTGCTGATACTACAAGAAATATTTGCCTCTTCTTAGTTTAAAAGTGACTTTCCCCGGCAGCAGACTTGAGTCCAAGTCAAACCTCCCCACACCGCAAAGCCCGGCCTCGGCTGAAAATGGTCGTTTAACGGTCGCTTCTGAAGCTGGAACCATTCCACCTCCCACCTTTTCTCTTTTTTTTTTTTTTTTTTTTTTTTTTTTTTGACTTTTTTCAAACTGTAATTT